ATGTGACCATCTGACACCCTACAAAATATTTACAACATTATTAATTATATTCCCTGAACTGTCTTTCATGTCCCTGTGGCAATACTGTAGTTACCTGTTTATGCTGTCTAATCCCTTCCCTTTCTCCCTCATCCCCACCCCCCTCCCAACTAGCAACCATCAGTTGTTCCTCTATATCTCTGAGACCATTTCTGTTTACTTTGCTCGTTCATTCAGTTTTTTAGAATCCACATATAAATGAGATCATAAGGCATTTGTCTTTTTCCGACTGACTTACTTCACTTAACACAATAGTCTCTAGATCCATCCATATCGTCCCAAATGGTACGATTTCATTCTTCTTTATAGCGGAGTAATACTCTATTGCAGCAGTTCTCAACCTTTCACAGGGGTCACCTAAGACCATCAGAAAACACATATTTTCCATGGTCTTAGGAACCGAGACACCGCTCCTCTATCCGTCTCCAGGCCCACATGCAGATATGCTCACATATGACTACCCGGTGACCCCTGTGAAAGGGTCGTTCGACCCCCAAAGGGGTCGCGACCCACAGGTTGAGAACCGCTGCTCTATTGTATAAATGTACCACAGTTTCTTAATCCAGTCGTCTACCGATGGGCATTTCGGTTGTTTCCAAGTCTTGGCTATTGTAAACAGCGCTGCAATGAACATAGGGGTGCATATATTTTTTTGAATTAGCGTCTTGGATTTCTCTGGATAGATACCCAAGAGTGGAATTGCTGGGTCATACTATGGTAGTTCCATTTCCAGGTTTTTGAGATAGCTTCATACTGATTTCCATAATGGTTGCACCAATCTGCAGTCCCACCAACAGTGAACCAGGGTTCCTTTTTCTCCACAACCTCGCCAACACTTGTTTGTTGATTTATTGATGATGCTATCCTGACCGGGGTAAGGTGGTATCATATTGTGATTTTTATTTGCATTTCTCTAATGATTAGTGAGGTTGAACATTTTTTCATATGCCTGTTGGCCATATGTATGTCCTCTTTAGAGAAATGCCTCTTCATATCCTCTGCCCATTTTTTAATTGAGTTGTTTGTTTTCTTGGAGTTGAGTTGAAGGAGTGTTTTATAAATTTTGGATATTAATCCCTTATCAGATATATCGTTGGCAAATATTTTGTCCCATTCAGTAGGCTGCCTTTTTGTTTTATTGATGATTTCCTTTGTTGTGAAAAAACTTTTACGTTTGATGTAATCCCATATGTTTATTTTTTCTTTTATTTTCCTTGCCTGAGGGGATATATCAGTAAAAATATTACTGAGGGTAATGTCTGCAAATTTACTCCCTATGTTTTCTTCTAGGAGTTTTATGGTTTCAGGTCTTACATTTAAGTCTTTAATCCATTTTGAATTTGTCTTGTATATGGT